TATAACGCTTTGAAACTACTTGTTTCTTGAAAAACTTGTGTGTGTAAGGGGTGTGTGTGTAAGGGTGAATGTAGGGTGTGTGTGTGTCTGGGGAAGGTATGAGTGTGGAGAAGTGTGTGTGTGTGGGGGGGGGGGTGTCTGGGGTAAGTGTACGGGGGGGGGTGTCTGGGGTAAGTGTACGGGGGGGGGTGTCTGGGGTAAGTGTACGGGGGGGGTGTCTGGGGTAAGTGTACGGGGGGGGGTGTCTGGGGTAAGTGTACGGGGGGGGTGTCTGGGGTAAGTGTACGGGGGGGGGGTGTCTGGGGTAAGTGTACGGGGGGGGTGTGGAAGCAGACAGTCGGAGATGGGAACTCTGGAGGTAGACAATAAATTAGGTCATAACACCAGTTTTTCCTGCGTGTGCGACCAAGCTCACAGGAGCAGGGTGTGTGTGGGGGGGGGGAAGGAGACAGGCAGGGTGACGGGAGACGGAATGAACCGTGGACAGAGAAACAATATTCGGAAGTAACGGGAGACAGAGTGAGAGTGAATGAGAGACTGAGTTAGAAAATGAGTGAGTGCGTGCACGCAAATCAGGCCAGGAAGAGAGGAAGAAGGACACCGTTACATGCTTTGTGAGAAAGAATGACCCTGGGATGAGGCGTCAGAAAAGGGTGGAAACAATGAAAGGTGGAGAAGCGTGCCTAGTCAATCTCCCCGTGCCTAGGTGAAGGGACGGGAAGATTGACACGCTAAGACAGGAAAAATGCATTGTGAGATAAGTGACGTAGATTAGATACGAAACCCGGTATACTAATGGAGATAAAGGAGAAAAAAAGAGATTAGAACTAGGACAAAGGGGGGGGGGAAGGGGATTAGAATGGGGAGATTGTGGGAAAGGTGTAAGTTTAAAGATTATATCCCAGACTGTTGCAGTGGCTGGATGTCTGAGAATATCTCTCTCTCTCTCTCTCTCTCTCTCTCTCTCTCTCTCTCTCTCTCTCTCTCTCTCTCTCTCTCTCTCTCTCTCTCTCTCTCTCTCTCTCTCTCTCTCTCTCTCTCTCTCTCTCTCTCTCTCTCATTGTAATGGGAATGAGAAATTAAACTATTAATATTCAAATAACCAAACAAGTATAAAATAGTTATCAATAATAATAATCAAAATAATTGACAGTAGTTATGGTCAATATTTTGACTTTCACGGTAGTGAGAAATGTTGTGGTGAGAGTTATTTGATGTGTTACCCGGAGCACGTGTGTGTGTGTGTTCTGGTAGGCACTTAGATGAAAGAGCACAAGGCAGGCTTGTAATTTCCCAGGTGGACGAGGTGGACAGAGAAGACTGGTGTGGACCTGGACTTGTGTACTCACCTAGTTGTGTTTGCGGGGGTTGAGCTCTGGCTCTTTGGTCCCGCCTCTCAACCGTCAATCAACAGGTGTACAGATTCCTGAGCCTATCGGGCTCTATCATATCTACACTTGAAACTGTGTATGGAGTCAGCCTCCACCACATCACTTCCTAATGCATTCCATTTGTCAACCACTCTGACACTAAAAAAGTTCTTTCTAATATCTCTGTGGCTCATTTGGGCACTCAGTTTCCACCTGTGTCCCCTTGTGCGTGTTCCCCTTGTGTTAAATAGCCTGTCTTTATCTACTCTATCAATTCTCTTCAGAATCTTGAATGTGGTGATCATGTCCCCCCTAACTCTTCTGTCTTCCAGCGAAGTGAGGTTCAATTCCCGCAGTCTCTCCTCGTAGCTCATACCTCTCAGCTCGGGTACTAGTCTGGTGGCAAACCTTTGAACCTTTTCCAGTTTAGTCTTATCCTTGACTAGATATGGACTCCATGCTGGGGCTGCATACTCCAGGATTGGTCTGACATATGTGGTATACAAAGTTCTGAATGATTCTTTACACAAGTTTCTGAATGCCGTTCGTATGTTGGCCAACCTGGCATATGCCGCTGATGTTATCCGCTTGATATGTGCTGCAGGAGACAGGTCTGGCGTGATATCAACCCCCCAAGTCTTTTTCCTTCTCTTCTCTGTGTGGACCTGGATTGGTGTGAAGGTGTTCAGAGTGCAGGAATTGTTTGCAAGAAAACTTGGCATTAAATTGAGTTTCATCCCAGTGGATAGACATAATACTTTCATGAAATATATATTTTTTTAGGGCCGGGCTTTATATTATGAGGGATATCAGCGTAATTCTTAATGATCTCTTGTCGTAGTTTAAAAAATGAATAAACAAGAGGTAATAACATTACAATTGCTGAAGAAGAATTCGAGGAATGAAAATACAAGATAAAAATGAAAGATTATTAAAGGGTTGTAAACTTACAGTGTAAAGAATGTATGAATACGTCAGGTCTTCATAATGGAGAGGAATGGGGAAAAAATTGAATTTAAAAGTTGGTAACAATTTACAATAGGCGTCTAGGGAGGACATTTTTGGTGCCGGGGAAGCGAGAAAGTTGGAATGCTTTCTCGCCAGAAAAAAAATTATTTTTAAATAATTAG